ATGCACAATTATAAACTCACAATGTATTAAAGTTTGAAACATAAGACCAGAAACTGTAAAACTGCTATAAGAAAACCCCAGGAGAAAAACTACAAAATATTGGTCTGGGCAATCATTTTTAAAATTTGACCCCAAAAGCACAGGCACCAAGAATCAACAAATAAGATTACTTCAAGCTAAGAAGCTTGTACACAGGAAAAGAAATATATTTTTGTGTATGGTATGAAAAAAAAGACCCATTTTCACTCTTCTGCGTATAGATATCTAGTTTTCCTAACATCAATTATTGAAAAGACTATCTTTTTCCTGTTGTGTATTCCTTTTGTTGTGGGAGAAATGGAATGCTTCCACCTTGGGCATCTATCTTCTCATTCCCAAAGAGAGAGAAAAGTCCATTCCTCAAACAAAAGCTAAGATTTTGGGGAATAACCATTGCAAAGTATCAAAGTACATTATCAAGTTTTATTTTGAATGATGTTCAAGACATTGTAGTAATGAACTCTGTTCAATATTTGGAAAACAAATAAGAGAAGCTTAGCAGTACACAGATTTAGAAGTTATTTCTGTAGTGTGTTTGAATTTCACTTCCTCCAGTTACTAACTTTGTGATCTTGCATGAGCTATTAACTTTCTGAGCCTTAGTATCTTTCGCTGTAGTCTACTTCTCTTATTGGTTTATGAAGGAATTAAATTAAGTCACCATAAGTAAAGAGCCTTGGACAGCACTTGGTATATAGTGGCATAGAATATAATTGCTCTTTCCTGAAATGCTTCTAGAAAGAAATTTTAGAATGGAAGGTGTAGTTTGGGTGTCAAGCATGTGTTGGTTTAATTTTAATCTGGATGTCATGCCCTCTTAGTCTCGAGTTCTAGAACATAAGAAAGACAATGCATGAGGAATCCAAAAGCTCAGAAAGGTAAGCACTTGGTGTTTACAATTCCTAAAACTATTTGAATCTAGTACTGCAGGACTAAGTAAATTACCAGGTCTTGTGATTCACTTAAATCAACAAAGAAATACTGAAAGATATGAAATTATAAACTTCTGTTTTACCATTCTTGTGGCATTCCATAGTGTCATTATAATTCCCAGTAAAAAGAAACATGTATGTGAAGGAGAATCTTTAGCAATGGGTCACATTAATAAAAAAAAATCTGGTCCACAGAGAAACATCTTGTTATTACTAGATCACTGTACATGTCCTCTAAATGTAAGTTTTTGTCTTTTAAAAGAAATGAGGCAGATTTTCCAGTGGCCTTTGTCTGACATCATCAGTTAGCTATGCATGGGGCACAGCTGTAAGCTCATCCTCCAAGTTTCTTATTTGTCACTTGGTTTTATTTTTGCCAAAACCAAGATGCAAACATGATGGTTTATAAGCTTGTAACAACATCCAGAAAACATATTATGACAATAAAAACAAAATAAAACAAAATTCCAGTTTTAACAAAACACCATCCACCTACCCACTCCAAATAATTTGGGTTGTGAACATGGCATAAATTTATTATTTGAATAACAATTGTGATTTAGAATTTAACCTAGGCAAGATAAGTAAGATGTACTTTCACCAAAGTGCAGTATTTTTAGTTGCTAAACATGAGAGGCATCCCAATATAGTGAAAAGTGTATGACCTTCGGAGATAGAGGGCCTCCATTAGGGACCTCACTTGGCAATCTGCTAGCTTTGTGATCTTACACAAGAAACTACCTTTCCAAGCTCTCTGTCCTCATGAGCAAAATTGGGAGATAATCACATTTCAGGGTTTTGTGGTAATCACAAAAGCATATCAAGTACCTGGAAAAGAGTAAATAAATGCTCCCATCTGCACCATGATCATATCATTATTTACTACTATTAGGCATGGGATAGGGAGCAGTACACTTAGTACCACTAAACTGAGATTTAAAAAATTTTATAGAATTATGAATCTGCTAGTAACTCAAAATAAAAAGTAGGCATTGTGTTATACTTTTCATAGATTAATAAATATGAGTGTGTATTGCCTTTAGGAGAAAATATATATTTATTTCCAGAAAGTGACAGAAGTCTTTTACAAATTAAAATAATAATAATAATAAATGCTTACATTTTACTTGCGTAAATAAGTCATCAAAAATACAATCAAAATTATAATTAAAGCAATCTGAAAAAAACTTATTGGGTTGAATGTATGACTGATTGAGTTAGAATTTATTATTTATTTCAGAAGAAAACAATTTTGTAGAATAAGATCACAAAATGAAGACTATTGATATTTATTTTTACTTTTGCTTATTATAATTATTTATATGAAGTTCTAGCCATTGCTAATATTTTTAAAGTTGAAACAGAGATGTACTTTGGGTTGCTTCAAGATTATAAATTTCTGTACATTGTACACAGATCAGATATGGAGAAAATTTTTAAAAATTAATCAATGAGAAGACTAACTTTTTTTTTTTTTTGAGATAGAATCTTACTCTGTTGCCCAGGCTGGAGTGCAGTGGTGTCATCTCAGCTCACTGTAATCTCTGCCTCCTGGGTTCAAGGAATTCTTCTGCCTCAGTCTGCCGAGTAGCTGGGACTACAGGCATGCATTACCACGTCCAGCCAATTTTTGTATTTTTAGTAGAGATGGGGTTTCACCATTCTGGCTGGGCTGGTCTCAAGCTAACCTTGTGACCCACCTGCCTGAGCCTCCCAAAGTGTTGGGATTATAGGCGTGAGCCACCACGCCTGGTAAGACAACATTTTTTAGCCAATCTATTAGCTAATAAAAAATATCACTTGCCAAGTGAGTATAATACAGCATGCCCAGCCCTTTCCCCTTAATATCAAAGTAAAATTCATCTGAATTATAGTTATAAGAATAACAAAAAACAGAGACAAACTATTTAATATTTATAAAAAGAAATCTTTTATTTTTGTATGCCAAAGATAAAAAAATCACAAAAAACTAAAGAATGAGAAATTATTTTGTTTTACCTTTAAAATGTGCCATGCAACATAACCTAGCAGTCTGAGACATGATTGAGGATAACTCTTCCACTACTCTAAATGTGTACAAATGGAGGATAAAATGCACCACAAGTTTTAAAAATAAGTACTTGAGGTATAAATTGAGAGCATGAAATTCCTGGATTGCAGCAGCAAAAAAGAAAGTATAATCTAAATAAGGAGAAATACCTAAAACCTAGTGTCTCATAGTACATTGAAATCAGACATACAAAGCGCAGTCTTGAAAAGCGCTTCAGTAATGCACAAATGTTCACAAATATAAGTTCTGGCTTTTGAGTTGTGGACTACTCCTGATTCAGGATTATATAACTTATGTAACTCAGACATAATGTTTTTACCCTGTCTAGGACCAGGAGCTAAACAACAGTACTCTACATAAAGGCAGTCACTTATTTTCCGTGAAACAGGAGTTCGAAAATTTTCACCCAGTAGTGCCAAGATGCTGCAAGGAACAAGGAAGAGAGCTTATCTTTTATTTAGAGTAATAGCTGGAGAAAGAATCACTCATTCAGAGAGAAATTGGAATCATAGCCAAAATTCTTCATGCAATGCAGTAATCTCGAACTCTGTAATTAAATCAATAACCATAAAAACCTTACTTGTCTTAAAGTGAAATATGTTAGGTCCTTAAAAAGACAACTGTAAAACCACATGATAGGAATGACTCCATATTCTAGAGAACTTGTAAATACCACTAAAAACTCTCTAAAGATAAGCTCAGGAAAATTTTATAAACTGCCATAAGAGAGACAATAGATACAAAAATGGAAGGATTTACATTTGAAGAATTACAGATATTAGAGACTCTCTGAAAAAAAGACTAAGTAATCATCTATACTTTTTAATAACAATAAATAAAAGCATAGAATCCATAAGGCAAAAGGTAGACTTTATGGAATTAAAACAGGTGGGTTTGAAAAATAATTTAAAGATTTATATAAATGGAAATATAATCATTAAAATACATTAATAATTAAACTAGACAAAGCAGAAGAGAGAATAGGAAGATAGGTCTGAAGCAGTGACTCAAACTACATCGTATGGTGATGGAAATTTAAAAAAAGAAGATAAACAAGGGTTGACAAACACATTTTAATCAGAGTTACGAAAGGAAGAAGAGGAAAAAAGGCAATATTTGGGGAAATGACGAATGATATAGATCTAAAGGAAGACATATATTTTAGATTAAAAGAAAACCCTGAGGTCCAAGCAAGATTTTAAAAGTAAAATTAATACACTTACTTTATAATGACAGGAAAATAAAATTGTTTTCAGCCTTTCCAAACATTAGTATTTTTTTCACTCATGGCACATGATGAAAAACTACTGGAGTATATTTCAGCAAGAAGGAATGGGGACTGGGAAGGAAGAAACTAATATAAGAAGAAATGCAGGCAGATAATCATGTGGTAAAATGGTCTGCAAATTTAACTGAGAATTGGAGGTAGAAAGAAGATAATGACTAATGGACTTATCCATTAGTGGTTCAGGACAGGGTAAGATAGCGCCCATCAAGCTACCTCCCACTGAAAACTATAAAAGATGTGCAGTGTTAAAGATCAATTGAAACAAGTGGGTCATGAGGTGCTGGGATCCTTAACATGAGAAAAGTTTATGAGGTTGGCTCTGCATTTGCATGATTTTCGGCAGTTCTGGAAGAAGTTTTCTTTTGTTTCTTTGATTGTTTACTTCCCTAGACATTTGTTCTTTCTTTCTGTTTTCCTAGTATGAATGTCAAAATCCTGCATTGTTTTTCCTTCAGTTTCAATCTTTCTCTTGAAGGTCTCTTTCTTTTTTTTGGAAAATTTCTTTGACTTTTCTTGACAAATCTTCCACGAAATGTTTTTCAGCTTTTATATTTTCACTGACATCTGTTTAACTCTCTAAATGGTCTTTTATCAAAGGATTCTACTCTCTTTTATGTATTCAACATCATCCTATATCAAATAGAGTTATTTTTTGTGTTCTCTAAAATGTCTGTTTTCCTTAACACTAGTTTTTTTTTTTTTCTAGTTGTTCAGGCTTTATTTTTTGTTGTTGGTTTTCTCAAACATTTAGTGATCCTTATAGGCTCATTAAAATTTATGAACAAATGGCTAGGTTGGTTACTTTACAGATTCTTTTCCTTCCAGTGTTTCTCTGACGTGAAGTCTCACTGTGTAACTTGGCCGTGCTTATAGGCTATTGAGACTGTTAGTCATCACTTGGGTGTGTGTTCACAAGGCACAGGCAGCCTGGATTATCCCACATCACTCATGCTGAGGTAAGTATGGCTTCAATCTGAAAAGGAAAAATGCATAAAATTACCCTAGCTTCCTTTAGTCGTTTTGCTTCATTTCCCCAGAGAACAATTTTCAAGTTATATCCTAGGGCCATAGTTCTGTGGTTTTGGTTGGTGGTCTTCTGAATTATGGATCTTTCTCTTCCTTGAACCACCTCCCCCAAATCAACTGGTAGATTAAATTTATAACCCCAAACACATAGAAATTTGTTTTTTTCATATTTTTGGCTCTATAAATGAACAGTTATTTTTCCTATTTTAAATCCAAATTAAATATGTACTGCAAATTATGGTATTTCCCAACTTAATTTCAATTCTTTTCATTGAAAAAAATGAGTAACTGAAATGTAGTTAGAGTCAAATGTGTTACCCCAAATCCTTCATTTGAGACAAGTGTAATTTAAAATCTCACCCTAGCACTCAACTCTTCCCTTGTGTGCCAGGTCTCTTCTGTTTGCCTCCCCTGCCCACATTCTGCCCAGTTATTTATCCTAGTTTCTGCTTTGGGAGATTGACCTTGTGGACCCCAAGGAATAACAGTTTCCTTTTCATTGATATATTGGAATACCCTGACCCTAGGAGAGAAAGGCGAATGAGGTCAGGGTGTTTACTTACACTCCTTGACTGCAAGGCCACTGAGGGTTGCTGTGTTCCTGCACCTAACACTGCTTCTGTGCTTCTGCAGGTGACCTTCTCTCTAATACACTCTTCTAAGTTTCCTCTTCTTATTAAGTTTGGATATCAACAGTTTCTGCTTCACTGCAACTAACTCCAAGTTACTCAAGTGTTTCCTTATACCTATGCCACATTTTTATAAATAGTTTCTTTGTAAATAGACATTCCTCAAATAACTCTAATTTGAATGTACAATCTGTTTTCTGTTGGGACCCTGACAGATACTCGTTGGAAACAGACATTAACACTCCAGAAGAAAATTTAGCTGCAAATTCCTTGACTACAACTATTGAAATAAAAATGTTGTAAAATAATCTTCTTTAGGTTTTTAATGTATATGAACATTAGCAATCTATAATAAATATTTATTAGCATTATGGTTGAAAATGGCCCTGAAATGTGTGTAAGTTGTATAACATCCTGGCATCTCAGTCTCTTTGTCAGTAATATGAGACTGTTAAAGGACTGGATTTATTGCCTCAGAGAAGTATCATCATGATTAGCAGATATTTGCTAGGCATCCATAAGTTATAAGATCCTTGTGCTAAGTATGCATTAAACAAAACAAAACTCACTTGTACTTAGAGGTATAGGTACTGAGGTAGGACATGATTACATGGCCTATATGTTTATCAGAAAAAAAGAGAAATGAGCTGAAATTTACTTTATTTTCAGGACCTCTTTTTGTGTGTGGTGGGGAAGGAGGAGGTGAAATAGTTTCTCCAGAAACCGTATGCTCCTATACTATAAGTTATTCTTCGGAAAGGCCGTCATAATGTAAAATTGGGGGTTCTTAATTTTTAAAGGTTGGAAAATTGTAACCATGAAAGCTGATGTATACATTTTTCACTGCATAACAGGTCCCCTCTGAGAATACAAAATATATTTCTATCAAATCCCTTACAAACTGGTAATAATGGCCACATGGTGCTGATGGGATGACCTCCACTGCTGCAATCCCTGAATCACTGCCATTTATGTATTCTACAAACTCAGCATACTTGGGAAACAACTTGAAATCAGTTCTACCAATCAATATATCTTCTAAAAGTTCTTCAACTCTTTGGCTTTATCACAATTTCCCTCTGGTTCATGTCAATAAATAAAAAGACTACGTTTTCAAAATATCTGTCACAGATTTTGTTGAAGTAAGAGTTAAGATGATTTGCCTCCTGTTTGTCTGTGTGTGTTGCAGAGGCAGAGTGGGGGGTTAGTGCTGCAGGATGACTGACCACTTTCAAAGGATCCTTAGCCTCCTATCCTTTCCCAGCTTCAGTATTTACATCAAAAATAATACTTTTTAATTGTTGCTGTAGTTTGAAATCTCATGAATTCCATTGTTTTCTGACAGGGATTATCTTTTCTGCAAATTCCAGGAAATTATTATTAAGATATGATAACAAACTTTAAAGTAGCTGAAGTTCAGAGTACAGATAACCAAAAAATATAATAGAAAGAAAAAGTAAATTTTGAAGATTGTTGCTGAAATCAGAAGAGTGCCGGTTGTAACAAAAGAGCATCAACCTAAGAGTTCGGGAGTAGAATTCCAGCAATGATGGAGAAGGAAGCTTGCGACATGTGCCCCAGAGAATAAGGGAATCTCATAAAAAGACACTCTTAAGAATAGAACAAGGGTACTCTTAGGGCACAAGTGGAGGGAATTAATTAATTCCTTATTTCCATATTTTCCTCAGTATTTCTTTATTATCTTTGTGGGAGACCAATGGCAAAGCATTTAGCCAATTTGAATAATTCATTGTAGACATAATCCCACAAAATGAGTAATATTTAGGCAAGGCAGATCAGGCTGCAAAACATTCCAGGTAAGTGCAGGTAATTTTTTGGTGTAATTGACCTTAATTAGCAGTGAGGTATTTTTCATTATTGTTTCAGTTTACGATTCCTATCTTGGAATCAGAAATCCAGTCTTCTTTTCCTTAAACATTTCTGATTCTCAAGAAGGGACATCTACTTTGAAATGTTTATTTATTGGTTTTGTTTTGAGTTTCTTATATATCTAAAATTCAGGAAGCAAGAGCTCAAGACATCCCTAAAGCCAAGTTGTGCAGCCCTTAGTGCTCCTGGCAACCCTGCTTGTTTATGTCTGTAATGTCAAGTCCAAGGATGATAGGGAGCTCACAATGTTCCTTGGCTGCTATGTGTTTCTTCTTTCCTCTGGTTCAGTACGGATCACCTTGGTTTACACGAAGCAAAATGGTTCTGAAATAGGGAGGGAGAGAACAAGCTTCCTTCTTAGTTCTTCTCACTTCCACTGTCCCAGGGTTTTAGCTTTACTGGCTGCTATGGTCTGAATGTGTCCCCCAAAATTCACATGTTGGAACTTAATTGCCAATTTAATAACATTAATATGTGGGGGCTTTAGGAGGGCAGAGCCCTCATGAATGAAATTTATGTCCTTATAAAAGGACTTAAGGGAACTGGCTAGGTCCCTTTTTTGTCTTTCTCTCCATTCTGCCAGTGAAGACAGTGTTCAATGTGCCATCTTAGAAGCAGAGACTAGGATCTCACCAGACACTGAACCTTCCTTCATCTTGGAATTTCCAGCTTCCCAAACAGTGAGAAATAAATTTCTTTTGTTTATAAATTACCTAGTCTCAGACATGTTATTATAGAAGGATGAATGAGCTAAGAAGTTGGAACTGAGAAGCAGAGTGTCACTACAACAAATATCTGAAAATGTGGAAGCAGTTTTGGAGCTGGGTAATGGTAAAGGTTATTCTGATGAGGGCTTAGAAGAAGAGAGGGGCTGTAGGGAGAATCTGAATCTTCTTGGAGATTACATACAGAATGTTCATAGAAATATGGATAGTGAAGGAAATTATGATTAAGTCTTAGATAGAAATCAGGAAAAAGGTATTAGAACTGGAGAAAAGATTATCTTTGTCATAAAGTAGCAAAGAACCTGGCTGTTCTTTATGTTTTATTGCTTTGAGGAAAGCAGAACTTGGCAGAGGGGAACTAGGATATTTGGCAAAATACTTTTCTAAGCAAAAGGTTCAGGATGCTGCACGGCTTCTCTCAACTGCTTAGAGTAGAATGAGAAGGAAAAGGTGAATTAAACATGGAATTTATAATTAAAAAGAAGCAAGTAAAAAGTTGGAGAATTGTCAGACTGTGAAAAACGATGAAGTGTGTTTTGAAGAGAACACCAAAGGTGTGGCCATACAAATGTTTGATGAGCAGATTGGTATGGACAGAATGAATCTAGATGCTCTTGATCAAGACAGTGGAGGAATGATCCCTAAGGAGGAAACTGTCACTTCCATCACAGGCCCAGAGTGCCAGGGCCTTGAGAGCAAAATGGTTCCAAAGGATGGGCTCAAAGCTCCTGTGAGATCTCAGACTCACTGACTAGGTCTGCCTCAAGTTTCTGCTCCATGCATTCTGTTACAGCACTCCTTAGCCACCCCAGCTGTGGCTCAAGTGAATCAGGTTGTGGCTGATGCCACCACCCCAGAGGAAGTAGTAAGTCTTGGCAGTGTCCCAGTGGTGCCAACTCTACAGGTACACAGAGTGCATAGTCTATGCAGGCATGTTACTTGCCTCCACCTAGATTTCAAGAGATGCCTGAGGGAGCTTCAGGGCCCAGGTACAGAACAGCCACAGGGGTGAGGCCACTGGGGAGAACATCTGATAAGGCAATGTTCAACAAAACCATGGGGTGGTGGCAGCCACAGAGAACTGCAATTATGGTAATGCTTAGTGAAGCCATGAGTACAGGGCTACCCTTTCAATCGCAGACCTCCATCAGTGTGCAACACTAGCCCGGGAGAGCCACAGGCATGTGTCTCCAACTCAAATGAGAGGTGCCACATTAGCTATGCTCAGCAGAGATATGAGAGGTTGGGGACTTCCCTTGGAGAAGTGTCCAAGGCTTCCAGGATTGCTTCTTTGTCTACATGTCCCACATGCCAAACACACTGGGACATGTTATTATAGAAGGATGACACTCTGCTTCTCAGTTCCAACTTCTTAGCTCATTCATCCTTCTATAATAACATGTCCCAGTGTGTTTGGCATGTGGGACATGTAGACAAAGAAAGTTATTGTCGAGCTTCAAAGTTTGATGTTGTTTGCCTTGTGGGGTTTTGGACTTTCTGGGAGCTGTTGCTCTTTTCTTCTTGCCTATTTCTCTCTTTTGCAATGGGAATGCCTATACTATGCCTATTCCACCATTATATTTTAGAAGCACATAACTTCTTTGATTACACAGGCTCACAGCTGAAGGGAAAATTCGCCTCAGAATGGATGATACCTTGAGTCTCACCCATATTTGATTGGGGTGATATATAGATAAGACTCT